ACTTCGCCATGCGTGACAGCCACGAACCTGCGTGATTGACAGTTGACTATAATATAGCCCATCTCATCTTCCACTGACATGCCAGCTACCAACTATGCAGAGGATAGTGACTACCCTCACGAGATAACACTTCCTGCATAGCGCCTAGGTACGACATAGGAGTTGCAAGCTATAGGCACAGATCTTATATTACTGACGAGTGCGTTAGCTTAAGGGAATTAGTGTACCACAAATTAGGTACTAATAGCACATTTCCAAACGATGACCTACAGCTGAGTACGTTAGGTCAGCAAACGACATATTCCTTAGTACGACTTTTCGTCACATATCCGCTCTCTGAGAAGCTAACTTGAATAGTCGCTAATTTCTGAACAACACGCTGTGTTAATAAAAGACACACGAGATAATATGCTACCAGGCGATTGTGAGTACTTCCGTTCCTTCACATTTTATGGCTCGACGGTATCGCTTATCGATTTCTTCTTTTGGACGAACAACGGATTAACAAACCGGCTTAAGGTCGTTTTATTCTTAGGCTTACCTGTTTACTTTGCACAATCTACCACAAAACACTAGCTGATGTGCTCTGTTTTACTTCGAAGCATTTATTGAACACACATTACATATCGGCTCAACAGTGCCCCCGGGATTACTACCGCTCGTACTATTGAGCCGGATCAAATATTCTTTAGTCCAACATATTCCCTTAGTCATAAATATTATGACTGGAACATGCTTTATCAGTGCAGTGTATTCCGCCTAAGACCCAAACATTTTACTAATCAGACTGGGTCACTACAGTGACTCAGACAGGTCATCACTTTTTCTGTTGCTAAATTTTTATTCGACCTCGTACTTAGGATAGTGCGTGCTACTCCACCTTTAACCCTCGCATTTTGACGACTTGGTAAAATATTCAACTAAGTTATCGGTTGAGGACAGTCAGGCACCGCTTCCCTGGCGGCGTCTCCAGAAGTAGCACATATCGTCATCATTGTTTCAAGATTGTTTATATGAGATTATCTGGTTTGGAAATGGCCTAGCAGCAATGAGTGCATTATTCAGTCTTTTTCGGCTTTTCTAGTGAACTGCTGGCATAAGATATACCGTTTGCCTGTAGTCTGAGTTATATACACCAAATGATTTGCTGAAATTCGAATCTATATCGGCAACTGTGGTTCATCCCAAACCACTAGCCGCTGTCTCAAAATCAATGTTTACTCTTCTGTTCGGTGCGTAGTAGCAAAATGAAGGCTAAATGTTGTCTTTTGAGATGCGGACTATTTCGGTAGCTAGATTAATTTGCCTCAGGTCTGTGTTGATTAGGTTGTCAAGGGTTGCATTTGTAAAATATCTGTATGTGCTACAAATGCCGTCGGTAAAGCAGTCTTATATAGACTGGCCAGTTATACCATGAAATTTGCTAGCGTAGGCGTGTTGCGTACGTAAATAGCCAACGGGGCCACGCGTCAATCGCATCGTGCCCCAGGTATACCGTAGAAACGCGTGGCTCAGCCAGAAGGCGTACATAATTTGGGTTTTAATTGTAATTACTTGTGTAATTGAAGGCACAACCCACGCGCAAACGGCGGAATCAAAACCGAGGCTATGACGCTCGTCTTGTATGTGCAAGCGCTGTGAATCACTGATTATCATACACTATTTCATTCATTTCATTTCATCAACTGGAAGAGGCTCAGAGGAATATATGACGTTTTCGTGAGAACTGCAATAAGTTTTCAGTCATCGAACATAATCAAATTTAGGTACACAAGTTCATCACTTCAATATTAGCAAGGATATTTTGTCTCAACATCAAGATCACCCCGAGGGCTGCCACATAATGTCACATGTATCTCAATCGGCTTTTGTACAAGACAGAGATTGGAAAATTTCCCAAGATCCATGCAGTCAACGCTGCATTGTTTTCCCTCTAACTGAGATCAACGCTTGAAATCCATCTACATCTCGCAATCACCACGACCAGCTCGATAAACAGTCGGGCATGGCTTCTGTGTCATTTTGTCGTCCACGATGGTCTTTGCAGCGGAACAGTTCACATGACTTGAAAACGCCACCGGAACCACGCCTGTCCAGCTAGCGCAGTACCGGCATCCGCCCGACCATCGTGCCTGAGCACGCGACCCTAACACCAGCCGCATTGCATTTCACGCAGTATCGTTGAGCTTTAATCACCCCCCAGTTTACATTCAACGGCTAACACCTGACTTCACTCGAAGGTAACTCACCAACCAACTCAGATTGCGTGGCAATCGGTTGGATGTGAACAAACACCTATGGCAGAAGGCGGATAGTAGGAAAAACGGTGAGCACTTTCACTTGCATTCTTAATTTCTCTGTTTAGAATAGAAGTCCCTGTTTCGGCTCTGTCTATACTCTCTATTCGATTTCAGAGTTTGTATCCTGACAAATCACTTCCTTCTATAGCTACATGCTGTATACTTTAAGCACAATCCTAAACCGTTTTAGGAATATCAAATCTAACGGTACTGCGATACGATGACTTCAACAATACGTAACTGCACTCGACAAAGAGTTGTGTATCCTCCATTCCGCGAACAAAACAAAAAAGGAGACCCAGGGTAAGACTAATGGAAACAGTGTCTTCACAAAGATCAGCCTTACTAAACAACTGGGTGATAAGATTAGCTCGCTTCAGCTGCATCTTTCTAAAATGAAACAAACGCTGGGTTACCTAAGACCATTTAAAGGCCACCTAGTTGCCTCAGAGGATATCAACAACCCATCGAAGAAGCCCGATGAGGTCCAAATGAAATAAGTAGGACAACTCATTTTCTACGTGGCATCCGAAGTGCATGAACGAACGCGTGGGCTGAACAACTCTACGGTAGTTAATATTTCTGATGCAGTTAACTTAATAACGTGAAAACTGCGTTTCCGAGTGCTTTCAACGTGTCTGAGAAGGGAGGCAAATGCAAACGTCTGAGAGAAAAATCACCGAAGCGGTGTTGCCCGATATTTTTCAACCTTTGTAACGAAGAATCTGCGGACAGATTTGTGCTGCATCGACTCGTCACACTCCAACATACACAGTTCTAGGATGTAGTGGTGAAGAATGATCTGGTACCCTGCAAGTGTCATTTCTGCGTCTGCAACACAAACGCTATAAACGAAAATAAGGTACAAACTGGAATCAGGGATAAAGAAACAGGAAGAAGGTCAGTCCGATGGACATATCAGCTGCGTTGACGTGGGCATGCAGCACATGTAAGCAACCACGGCACAAATATTGGTACTTCTTGAATATGAGTGAACGGATCGATGCTCTGAGGGAAGCTACGTGGCCAGAAATTCTATCATTTATGCTTTCTTCCTATCATTAAACCGCGTAAACAACGACACTACCTCTGCATGCAAATGGGCGCTCCGGCTTGTCGGTAAATACAATAACTTATATTTATCGGAAAGCGGGAGACACCGTCGGCAACTCGACGGTCACATTTCCCCCTCGCTTATGGAGATTGAGAAGCGCAGAGAGATTTTATACTTGGGGTTGTGATTCTGTGTTCATTCTTTCCTTGGATCAAGGGTTGAGCTGCAAATTTCTTGCTTATAAGCTTTCAAAATTGCAATTGGTCTAAGCCTTGTGGGCCTCCAAATAGATCGCAATTCAACAGTAAAAATACATGAGAAGTTCGATGGTTGCTGTGAGGATTATATGATGTGATACACGAGGCCGGAGCATTAACTATTGTAACAACACAGCTTACCATTCATTATTCCCACTATCCGCCATAATCGGAAGATAACCAGTAATGCGGCAGCTGCGCCAACTGCAGCCAGTGGGTCTGAAGAAGGGTCATTGAAGAAATAATGAGGGTCGGACCCATGCGCTGTGCGGATGCGGGCAACATGCGCTGAAATGATGATCGCGTCCACAATCAAACTGATCACAATAACGACCAGGTCCCAAACCTCAATCCAGTGACTGAAAAAAGTTTTCGGTCCCAGTGCAAACAGCTTCATGCAGATCTCGATGGAGAAGATAGAGCTTATGCACATACTGACGCACTGCAGCCCAAACCGAGCCTCATTCAAGCGGTTCCTCTTCTCTCCTGACTTTTAAAAGAAAGTGGGAGTGGACACTAGCATGCGAAAACTAGTCCCGCATCAACAACGTCAGTACAACGGTTGTGTAGAAAGTTACACTGGCTATCGTGTTTACATGTAAGTGGAGCGAAAATGGTTGTATTCTCCACAGACTAGTTGGGTTCTATGTTGTTAACAAATTAGTGACAAGCCTAAATCTCAGTAAAATAAGTGTTTCTAACAGACAAACCTTCATTAACAAATTTCAAGCTGTACCACCACCGTGGCAATCGGCGCCTACCACCCGGCCTCTGTATGAAAAGCAATACCAGTGAGGTCCCACAAAGTGTGTGTACTTAGTTTACTTTTGTAAGTGCAATCTCAAACTTGTTAACATACAGTTGTATTCATCGAGCTGTACAAGTTGAACCCTCTGGTTCGCATTAATCACGACCCACCATCGCAACCTGTTTACTTGTTTACTAAATCTGGTCTTTACTACGCTATCTGAATCGAAGTACCATCTTACCACGTGCATTAGGGTATAGATTGGTTTCCTATGCCGATGCTGGACCATCTAGTGAATGTACCGAAACATGATCACACTAAATGTAGCCAACACGGTTCCATCGCTAAAGATCTGATTCTCACTTTAATAAGCTCATTGGTATTCAAAACAATGGAAAATGCGCCAATTGGTTGGAAACCTTAAGTAGATATTGGCTATGAATCCTAAGCCACAGCTTCATTTTGAATCGAGACCCACGTGATTTAAGTCGCAACAGCTTCATCTAAGTCTGTATATACAAAGCATGGCATTTGAGATGGGGGCAGCAAAATATTTGCTGAGCCACACCATTCATGTAGATTTCCAATAACGTTTTGCGTTTTGGGGCTACTCGTTAGTAGCCATAAGCGGCTGGTTGCGCCGAGGCGGTACCTTGGCTATAATCAGCTGTATTATAGCTCAGCTTGTTGATAGTGGGTATGAAATTGCCCCAGTACGTGCACTTCGGATACTGCACATGGTTTCTGCACTAAAGTCAAAAGGTCTGTACATCCGCACCCTTGCTTCTGTGGAGGCGATCGGCATTGGGTTGTATCAACTGCTATGTTGTGCACAATAGAAGCTGATCGATGCTGTGAAGCTACCTTGGCCAGACAATACGGATCCTTATGAAATCGGCTGTAATTGTTAAGCTACATCTTTGTCCTAGGTTGTCGTTTGTTGCTGGTTCATGCCTTTGGTCGACATATGAGCGAACCTCATTTGTTGATCAAATCCTCTTTAACGCCCATGGCTATTTCACCCATATGATTATACGGGTCTGAGGATGAACCATCGAAAACTATGGTTTACGGTCGGTCATCAGTTCCTGATCAGAAAATGAGAAATTTCCAGTTAATATATCGTGTATCGTTATTTAGGCTCATTGAGTAGCATCAACTAAAGATTATCACAAGCCACTCACATCCGCCTTGAGTGTCTCACTCTCCAGTAGCAACGCTACAACCAGTATCACAGCGTTAACCCAAGCCATAATGATAACAGTGATGTTCACCGGTATCGAGTACAGAACACGCAGAATAGAACGCCTGCATTTGGTAGAGTCGGGAAGCGCTCTGTAAGCTCCATGGCTTGTCCACTTTGAAAATTTCCGAAGCTTTTCCAAGTAATCTGTGTCACTTTCTTGATCCATCTGCACTGTTTTTACAAATTCGCCTTCTGCGGAGCAATCGCAGTTGATACCGCTAACAGATTTGGGAGGCATTTGTGTCGAAAGGGAATAAGATATCTGTAAAGCAGGAGAATCGAGATTACAGTGGTATGAAGAGCGATGCAGTTGAATACGTGACTTTACTTCTTAAACTTAATATGAACTGGCGTTCCCTTGCGTTTACAGTTATATAATGTAAACTCTTACTTTTGCCATGGTGTTCCATTAACCAACGCATAAAAACAAATGCAAGTGTGATAGGATTGCGTAATTACAGTGAACGAATGGACTCTCGGAAGGCATCAGGCTGCATTCCTTGGCCTCAGTGAGCGAATTCATCCGTTTACAATTCTCAGCTGCTTGGTGGATATTTGGTAGCGCTACTCTGATCTTCCACCTTTCTTGTTTAACTGCGTCATTTTCATGTACTCCTGTTTACCAGATAAAACCCACCTTGTGTAGGATGCATTGTGACATCCATCTGTTTGTGCAGACAAGAGCAGAGGGAACATGAGAGCGCATAGGAAAATCATATCGCTGCATCGGTAAAGCCTGAGTGTTGCGAAAGGCAGGAGGCAAAAGTTCAGTAAGGTGTAAACCAAATGAATGCGATAACCGCAGTTGAGTCACGAGCATTCCCAGTAGTAGCTGGTTACACCTGTGCTGTGCTGGAATTGGCATAGTGCACTAGGAACCTTCTATTAATTGTGCTGAAATAATGCACCATACAGCGAAGGAAAAAGTGCGGGTTAAAGTTTTGCTTTTACCGGAGTCCCCACTGTTAAGTATTTAGGTAGTAGCATATGTAGAGCTTTGTAGGTACAGCAAAAAAGGATAGGGTTGTTGAACATAGTATATGGTATATGTGTTCTAAGTGTAATTTAGTCCCGCGGAGCCCAGTCAGATAGCCAGCAGACCATTCGACAAAAGTGTGGACCTAATCATCATCGCTTTCACTGGCCTTGATATCGTCTCGTGTTACTCAATTACCCCATCCCTGCTGAAGTCAAGTCCACATTAAATGTGCATATAAGAAGGAAACCCCACTGTTATGTCTACAATCTGTCAAGGTTTTAATTTGCACTTACCACATCTTCCTTCTTCTTGAAAACGCTCACCTCATTAGTGGTGAGTCAATATGACCGTATGCGGTTGCTGCCATATTCCTAAACATTTTACTCCAAGTCTTCGCGTGCTTTTCTTTGCGTTTCCTCCTACTCCCTGGCTTGTGATGGCAATCTCTCGCTTTTAAATACTTCTGCTGTAGATCTCGTTCTTTCCTCTACATGGTACATTGTTGTAATGCACTAGTAGTTGGAAGCCTTTTAAATGCAAATTAGTTAGAAACTACCATAAAAGTATACTTACTGGTCTACGGAAACCGTACAACAATTTCTTACAGTTTGGGATAACAGCTGAAAATGTTAATTCTTTGAAACAAAAGAATAACTCCTGAGCACCCAAGTCTAGAAGCGGTTGAAATCTGAAGCTGGTCTGAACAATGACACTGTGGTGAGAGCAACCTACTGGGGACATTTCCCGAACAAACGCGTCGTAACATACATTGGGTCATCACTAAAACTGTCGTTTGGCTGGCAACCTCCGTTTTCCCCTTGCCTTTACCATGCTTTTCGATATCGCCTACCAATTTCTATTAAAGCTATGCACCAGCGCTTCATATTATTCAGTTCTTCTCTGTCTCCATTCGGTGTGGATTCCGAATATCATAAGAGCCAAAAACCAACATCTGATTTCCTTTCAGTATGTAGTAAAAGGATGGAACCTTCCGGGTTTCAAATGGGCAGAAACGCACTAGCTTACACTTCCGATTTTCACAACTTCTCTTCGAACTATTCTGTTGCACGTTCTTTGGATTACGCTTTTTTCGCTCGCTTTGACGAGCTTCTGCTTTTGAATACATTTTCTCAGAAAAATCTTGACATAGCTTACTTCTATCGGAATCGGCAAATTTTTGAAATTGTTTGCCATTACTCAGACGCATGGTTTTCCGCTCTTACAAACATCCATTTCGGAGGTTGGCCTTATTCGATAGAGGAATATTTCCTCATTACAGGAACTCTCACACCTCTCATGTCATTAAAGAGTCTAGAAGCCACAGTGCAGATTAACTTTCCGTTGTGAGCTATTTTCAGTCTGGCGACCACAACCAACTTTCTGCACTCGACATTTTGCTCGGTGTAATCGCTCAACCTGCCCTGCACGACTACCGCATGCACAAGCAGTATAATCTACCCGCTCTAGGTGCGAACGGATGACGAAGAGATACATCAGGCCAGGTTCGACTTGCCGACCCACTGATCGCGATATGACGATGAAGGGGCGCACGTCACGCGACGGCGAGGAGCGCACAAATCGTAGACTACGCAGTGACTGTTTGACCACAATGACCAAAAAGCCGTGACCCAAAAGATGGTTTACTGTGCGGCTCAGGGTTTCTTACGATATCACAATAACGGAAACCTATTCCAAACGTCCAGAACACGATCCGTTGCGTGGGAATCATTTTCGCTCATACTGTGCACCAGCCAACAGCATCCAGCAACTGGGGTGCCCATGCTCATCACGTGGAATAATAACGGTACATCCGTGAAGCTCTCTGAACTGGGAAGGTCACACTTCAGTTAATTTCAACACTACTGGTTTCGCCTCACTAGAAGGGCGGTAAAATGAGGACACGGAATTTGATTTTACTGGCTTTACAGATGGCGAGAAACTAATGCGTAGCTAGCATAATCTGCGCAATACCTACAATTTGGAAATACGATTAAGGGCAACAATTGGAGAACCGCAGCTACCTGACATCACCGAAGAAACAGGTCAATCACAGCATCAAATCAGCCACAACAGCGATTCAGAAAATTGTGTGCTCACACCGCTAGCCAATGAGAAGATTGCTGTTGGATTGCATTCTGCACGTGCAGGTAAAACCAAGAACGGATTACGTTCAAATCGGAATTAGGCGCCGCTTGTTACACCGGCAAACGAACCAAAAAACGACTGGGTGCTGGCCTATCATTGGCCTGCTTAAATTCTCGCCATTCACAAGCCCCGGCAAACACTTTTTGACGTTCATGAAGCTATCCTGTGCATACATCAATAGTCATGGCCTATTTTCTGAACTTATCGGACTGCAACTCAGTCAGAGCTCAAGCGTCGATGACCTTATTGCTAGTACGGATACTTAGCTAGGCCTCGGCATTTCTGGCATCGAATTCGGGCTGCCAGGTATGTCCGTTGTTCCACTCGGCCGAGTTAGTAACATTGGTGATGTGGCTCTGTACTACCACAGTGACAGTGTGAGCCCGTGAAGGAATCAGGCAATATGTTTCATGATTCTTTGTGGAGTCGTCTACACTTGACAGGCGACGAAGTCCAGTAGAGGTCGTTTATCACCCCATCTCATACTCCTCAGCATTCAGGCAGGTGATAAACAACAGCCACATACTATTCACTGCCGATTTCGACATCCAGACCCTGGAATCCCAACCCACATCTAGGGAAATGTTCGAAGCGAAGCTACAAAAGCTTGTCCAACTTTCACCACTTTCTGACCACATTAACACTCCCGCCAGATTTACTGAGGCATATTGACCATCTAAATTGGATCGGATATTCACCAGCGGATAAGTCATGAACGAGAGCATGATAGTCGACCTCCATTTGTGCCGTAGCGATGATGTAGTCTTACAGTTTGAAAGCATATAACACGCGATACTTCACGTGGCAGTTAGCACAGCAAGGTACACTATTATACGCTAGACATAGTAGCTTGGCTTGGTAGGACAACCAACTGGACCTTTCCGGTAGACGAAATACCGATTGGCGTATGTCCATATTTCGACCGGGCACTTTAACACTCTGGTTGCGGAAACGTAAAAAACTAAGGATCATCACTTGATTAAGAAGCTCTCGCCTGTAGGAAGCAGCGCGCATGGAATTACCGCAGTGAAAACTCCTCCTCGGATGTCTACGAGATCTCTCCAAACACACACAGACACTTGACGATTTATGTGGATCAACGTAAGCACTGTATTCAACTTAACCAGAAAGATACAATGGCATATCAGGAGAAGGTTACAATGTGTGTGGTTCCAGGTCACAAGCTGCTGTAGCAACATACAGACAGCTTGCATAATGTAAGGCGGAGAATTCCTCCTCTGTACACAGCGGATGCAGTAACACTGACCCCGAAGAATACGACGAATGCTCTGCGACCCCAATAGGCACCAACCTTTCGATGTGTTCAATGCCCACACAACCCTGTATCATATGTTGTCCCACAGCCAATACTCAAACATATTTATTTGCATATAAGAGTGAGCTGAAAATTTTGTTGTGTGTTCTCAAGTACAGCTCCCCCAAAGTGGTTAAGAAGCCAATGAAGTCGCTTGCGGCGGTGGGACAGTATTTATTGGAGCATTTGGCACCATTCGTCCAGTGTTGTTTTGTCAAATTGTGCGTACGCTCCAATTCAGAAGGAAGTTAGTCGTTCCGATTCAGTCAGCTACCGCGCTGTAACCCTGCTACCGGTACTTGTAACGGTCATGGAAGCTACTGTTACCGATGGACCTACCATAGTAATGTCACAGACCAGAACAACATGACTTACAACGACATTGATCGTCCACTACCAATCTACTGCCAGCACGTTCCGGTTGGACTGAAGCATTTGAGATCTATGCAGGAGTTGCTTATCTGTACTTAATAAATGCATCTGCTCGGTTAAAATATAGCATCCTCCTTCGGATAAGAAAACATGCAACCCCAACACTGACCCGTGTGGAACCCGCAGTCCACATTAATGGGATCAGAAAACGGACTCCAAAACTCAAATCTGAAGGCGCCGCTAAAAGAGGAAAGTTCCGATCCATCCGAGATCAGGGTTCCCAATCCTGCAGCTTATGGGGAAGAACGCGATGAGCCAGGCGGTCAGTGAATTTAGAAAAGTTTACGTAGATGATAACAATGCCGGTCGCATTGTCAACTGTCTCCGTCCAACTGCCATGCACAAAGAGTATATTGGTAGTAAATGACCGATGCTGACGGAATCCATGTTGCTCCGGTGCTACGATGTTAGACCCTTCAAAGTAGGCTATAAGAGCCTCAGGTATAATCAACTCCAACACTTTTGAAAATACCGGGAGAACCACTGGGTGACAGTTGGCGGGCTCTGAAGGGCTAACACACTTGAAAAT